ACATTTTAAAAATATTTTCACAATAGCCGGGCTCGGTGGCTCAGCCTGTAATCCTGCACTTTGGGAGGCTGAGGTGAGTGGATTGCCTGAGCCCGCGGGTTCGAGACCAGCCTGGGCAGGCGAGACTTCATCTCTACAATAAAATAAAAAAATTAGCCGAGCGTGGAAGCGCGTGCCTGTAATTCCGGCTACTTGGAAGGCTGAGGCGGAAGGATCGCCGGAGCCCAGCAGGTCGAGGCTGCAGTGGCCAGGAGCGGCCACTGCACTCCAGTCTGGGCGACAGAGTGAGACTCCAACTCAAAAATATATATATATATATATATTTTCACATTGAAAATTAAAGCTAAAATTCTCAAATTGGATAGGCTGATTGTTTGAATTGTTGTAAGAAAAAGCCAACAAACTAGTGCATGAAGACTCTAATAATTTTTTAGTATTCTGCTTGATTAGAGTCATTAGTATAATACTATATTTTTTGAAGTATCTGCTACACAAGACAAAAAAAAGAATGTTTCAATATTCCTTAAAATTCCAAATAAGCTTAAAGGGATGTCTATACTTCCGTTTCCATCAGGTCTCACCTCATTTCATTGTAGGCTGATGTATGTTTTAGTTAATTTGTATTACCAACTTATAAATTTTTATAAACAACCTCTATGTCCTAAATGTTACAAAATTAGTCACATAAATAAGTATTTTGTCTCCACTTTCTTGCTTAAAATGTGGAATTGCTAAAAGCTTCTATTTAAGAATACTGTATCTTTTTTCAAAAATTGTGTCCCAATATTTTAGCTTAATCTTTTCAATAAACGTAAACCACACCACTGCAGGAGTCTTTCCCCATATTTAGCTATTTGCCCATCTGAGTTCAGATCAAGTCTTAAAGTCCTCTTTATAAAGTAAAGTGAACTTTATAAAGCCTACAGAACTTTTTCTGTGTTCCCTGTTAAACTTCTTTATTTTAATAACAGACTTCTGCGTAATTAATCCCTTGGAGTTTGCCATCACATAATCTACCCTGTGTACGAACTGTTCCATGTGTATTTTTCTGGCAACAAGACCTCTGGGGAAAAAAATAAACAAATAAACAAAGACCAAAGGGAATCATGCACAAGGGGACACATTGTGTATAATACAACTGGTCTCATATACCTATAAACCAAGCAACAAGGACAGAAGACTTAATCCATCTTATCAGAGACTTAGGAAAAGGAGGTCTTGCTGTAAGGAATTTATCCCTTTGACAGGAAACAGTAATACTGCCTTACTTGGGAACTAAAGCAATAAAGCAATCATAAATAAATGTTGCATAATTACTGCTATTCAAGTAGAGTTGGGTTTGTTGGGGGGGGTTAAAAAATATGTTGGACCCTCTCCCACACTTTTTGCCTAATCACAGAAGTTTAGAATTTAGCTGAGAAAAATTCTTGTGAACTGAAATTCAAATGAATAAAGTTAGGATTTTATTATTTCTCATAAAGTCATTTCACACGTCAAGCAATGCCCAAGCAAAGGAAAGCTACTATACATTTGCTATTAAAAATATTTTGAATCTTGAAAAGTTCTCATTTGAAAATAGAGAAAAATACAATTTTTACAGAGTGAATGGGGACCACACTTGTTCCGTTAAAAAAGGATTTCCTGTAAAAACAGAAATTGGCGATTTCCTCTAAGAAAACACAGCAAAAGCTGGGAAGAAACTTGAGGATGCTTAAATTTCCACTGTGGAACAACTTTTGCTGCCCAGTGGGCAGGGGAAGGGGAAAAAAAAAAACACCTGCAACAGGATAGAAGGAGAGGAAGACAAGCTAGACTACCCAGCAAGTGAGGGGAAAATGAGGTGGGTTCCTAATCTGTGAAGAAAGGGAGCTGACAGGAAAGGAATATATATCTTAAGAAGAATACCATGGCAGATTTTGCAGTCAATTGCCACATCAGAGAAAAATAAGAAGACAGTATCTGTGGGGGAGACTGGACCAGTGTATGGCAGATACTGATGAGTTTAAAGCACCTTTTAACTAGAGGAAATATTAGTGAGGTGCTGAAAGTTGCTGCCACCAACTGGGCATCAGGCAGACTCAGGGGTTACAAATCACTTTCACTTCATACACTGTGCATTTCCATCAAAATGGTAAACAGGTTTCACTGTAGTCAAAGAAGGTAGTTTTGAAGCTGGTCATATTTTAATGAGCAAAAATAGAAATTTTAAGCAATAACTGGAAAAACGAAATACCTAACTGCTTTTCCTGATGATTTATACAGCAGGGCATGGTTAAAGGACTTATTCATAGGAGACTGTAATGGCAATAGGCAGAGAGAATAAATTTTAAATGCTAATTCTAACTTACCATCAGAATTGGTTGTTTGTTTAAAATCTACAGGAAAGCCTTTGATCCGGCAATTCCACTTTCACTAATTTATACCACATATAAACTTGTGCATGTACACACAGGTATGTAGAAGAAAGCTGGTAACAGCAAAAGACTTAATATAATCTAAAGAGCCATCATTAGGGAACTGTTCCAGCCACATGACGGGATTCTATACAAGAAAACACATGAGGTCTATCCATGTGAGTTAATAGATTGATGCACCAAAGACATATAAAAAGTGAGCAAAGTTCAGAACATTACGTACAGTATATCCATATATTAAACATGACATATGCACATACATCTTTATATGTGTGCATATATTACATATTTGTACATGTATACATATGCCTAAATACACAAGAAAATGGTCTCTGAGAGGCAGGAGGGAGATACTTTCAGTTGTATATCCTTTTAAATTATTATCTTCACCCTCCACATAGTACATACAGTATATTAGATATATATAAAACCTTATAGATAACGAGAGAATTAGAAACACTCACTATTCTATTACTATCTTCTTTCTTTTCTTTGAGTAGGGGTCTCAGTCTGTCTCTCAGGCTGGAAGGCAGTGGCATGATCACAGCTACTGTAGCATCGACCTTCTGGTCTCAGGCGATCCTTCTACCTCAGTCTCCCAAATGGCTGAGACTACAGGTGGGTACCACCATGCCCAGCTAATTTTTTTTTTTTTTTTTGGTAAAGATGAGATCTCACTATGTTGCCCTTATCTGGTCTCGAACTCCTGGGCTCAAGCTATACTCCTACCTCAGCTTTCCAAAGTGCTAAGATTACAGGCATGAGCCACTGTGTCTAGGCTTAATACCATGTTTTCAGGAAGGCTTTATATAGTTTGCCATAGGATAAGGTCTGTGTTAATGATAAAATATTGTGAGAAGCACAGAGAGGAAAAAAATGCAAAACTCAACAGATATAAGCACCAATGTGAGTAAAAGTGTGGCAAAGTAAAGCTTAATTTCTGTTTTCACACTGGATCTGTGCCTCCCAAGGAAGCACACTCGCTAGTGACACCACATGGAAATGAGACAAATGTCTGGCCAGGCCTAATGTCTCCCTGCAGACTTTCACCCACAGAACTGAATCCCGCATCCTCTCTCTCTGTACGGGAACAAGCTATCAGAATAGATATTAAGATAACACTGTACAGCAAGAATATATTTTAGATGGGAAAATGCTGGACTAAACCAGGCCCTTTTGGGAACATACAGAATTCAGAATTTTAGGCCACTCACTAAACCAGCCATGTGCCTTGCACACAGGGCAAGAGAGGTGTGCCGCCCTATCAGGATCAGGTTTACCGTGACAAGCAACTTTCCTTTCCAGTATTGTCCTGGGTTTGTTTTCCACAAAGGCCAAGATGCAACTGAATTAACCATAAATATTTTCTGGGGTCAGAATAAAATCACACACATTTCACCATAGATTAAGTGCTTGACTCTGACAATCATTTTGTTCCTAGTCCAGACTAGGGCTCAAAAACTGGTCTGTTCCATTTACTACATTTTTTCTTCCCATACCTGGGCCATAAAAACACAAATGTCACTCCACACACACACAACTAAAACAGCCCATAGCAGACAAGGATCAGTGAAGTGCTCAGCCGCATAACCAAAAGGCCATCGCCACTTGCTCACCCAGAGCCATATGATCAAGCTACAGAACCACTCAGGAAAAGAGCATCGGTGACAATTATAAGAATGTAATAGGAAATTTCTGTATATTTACTGTCTGGCCTTATTTAACAGGCTTCTCCAAGGAGGTAAAAGGGGTCATTTATAGTCTATCCTGCTGTGTCTATGGAGGCTTGCAATTAAACCATCTCTCTTTCAACCTGGAAAATGGTAAAGTATTGCCACACTTCTTCAATTCAGGGAACTGACAGCCCTTAGTCAACCTGCCCAATGGACATCTTTCCTGCTGAAACCTGGTCTGTAACAGCGGCATGGGACGCCGGTGAAACCGTCAATCGCAGGTACACACCACCCGCACCACCGGCTAAAAACCCCCGCGCAAGGCCGGCCACAGCACCGCAGTCGCACGACCCAAAAACTAGTTCTCCGAAACATTCGCCCCTCTCGGCTTCCAGTGTAGACATCTGAAAGGCAGCACTGCCTGAAGAACTCATTCCCTGATTTTAATAAGCATTATTGACAGGAGAGCCAACTCCTAACTGCGTGTCTTCTCTGACGGAATCCCTTCCTCTCAAATGGAGCATCTACAAAGACGCCCACAAGGAAAGCACGTTCCCCTAGACTCCAGCAGAATTGGTATACAAGGAAAGGAACGGGCTGCTTCTCTTCTCCCAGTCCCAACGCCTCCCTTTCTTTCTCAAGGAACCTTCCTCGCCTCCCAAAATCCATCCCAACAAGATTCCTTCTAATCACGCCCTGTCCTCTGGGGCAGAAATCCTTAGCAGTAGGAGCAAGGTGGTTTAGCCTCGCACGCGGCGAGGGCTGCGCAACCCTCGCACCTCTGAGGCGCCCCAGGACGTCTTGCCAGAGAGCCATTTCCTTGGAGAATCACCCTGTCAGTGGCTCTGGATCTTGAAACTCGAGAAAGGGGGTAGGGGAGACCCACGCTGGAGCAGCCGGTCGGTTCCTTTACCCTTTAAGCGCGTCGTGTCCTCCGCCGCCTCTTCTCTTGGCCCGGCTGGCTCTGGTCTCCTTCACGTTCCCAGCCTCCAAATTGGCGTCGGCCCCATGGCTCGTGTAGGACGCTAAGAGCACGGTAAATCCCAGGGCGATCTCCAGCAGGGCCCCTCGCCGCATGATGCCGCGCCGCCGCCGGCTCCCGCCGCCTGCTGCCGCGCCCGGGGCTCGGTCTGCGGCCGCCGCTGCGCCCTTAAGCGCACCGCCGCGCGGCCGGGTCCCGCTCTCCCGCCGCCCGTCTCCCGGGCCGGGCTCCTCCCGCCTTCTCCAGGCGCTGCTCCCGCTTCAGGCGGCCCCTGCCAGCTGCAACACAGAGACAGATCCCCGGGGCGGGGAAGACATTCAGGGCATCGGGATGCTGAAGCCTCGCGGTCCCCATTCCCGAGCCCAGCCCGCGCGCCGCCTGCGCGTGGCGCAGTTCATTTGGGTAAGTGCAGACCGTTTGGTCCACAGCTGGCGGAAGAGCGCAGGCCCCCGGCGGCAGCGGCTCCGGCCGACCCCTCGGCCTCCCGCGCGCTGCCGAAGCGCGCAGCGCCGAGTCCCCGTGTCCCGAGCGCTCCTCAGCCCCGGGACGAGCTTGCTGGCTTTACTTTTTCCGTGGCACGAACTGCGCGCGAGGCGCGCTCCGAACGCCCCGGGTCCTCAGCCCGTCCTCTCCGCCCAGCGCCGGGGCTGGACGCCCGCCGCGCCGTCCCCGCCGGCTCCGGGCGCTGCCACCGCCCCCTGCACATCTGACGCGGAGCCGGGCACCGGGAGCCCCGGGCCAGGAAGCTGTCAGGCAGGGGAGGGCCAGCGCCAGCAGTGGACGTTCCGGGACAGCCCCTCACCCCGTCCCTGTCGCTGCCCGCGGCGCAAACGCAAAAGCCGCCGCGGCTGGAGCCCCAGCCCCGCTGGCCGCCCGACCCCTGCCGGGACCCCGGCTGCACCCACTGGAGAAGCGGCGGCTCCGACCCCGCAGGAGGCGGCGGCGGCTGCTCCTCGGTCCTGGCCGCTGCAGCCGCTGCTCCGCTCCGCCCGCAGCTGTCCCAGCTGTGGCCGCCTGTCCGCCTGTGGCACCCACAGTCTCTGCCGCGGCTCCCGCGGCCCCCTCCTTTCCCCACCTCTTCAAGTATCGTCCGCGCAGCGGTTTCTCGCGAGAGAAATACTTTTTGAAAAAAAGAAAGAAGAAGAAAATGACACCCCCCCCTCCGTCCCCCTCATCACCACCCCACCCCCCGGCCCCATCCATCTTCCCTTTCCACTCCCCTTCGCCAGCCACCGCCTCGGCGCGGGGGCCTCTCTCGCCCGCGGGATCAGCGCGGTGGGAGGAGGCAGAGGTGATCGGGTCCTGCCCGGCCTGGGATTTTTCGTCTCGGAGTGGGGAGGAGAGAGATGGGAAGAGGTGGAATAGCGGTTTTAGCCCGCTCGGTGGCGGGGAGGTCTAGACCGCAGATTAGCCTTTCCCGTGATCGGGGAAGCCCGGCCGGCGCAGAAAGCTGTGCCACCTGCACCAGGAATGCGCGCTGGAGACCGCGGCCCCGGAGGCCCGGCAGGCCCGGGAGGCCCTGGCCCGAGAGGAGACCGGTCCTTGCCGCCTGAGACTCCCGGTCGCCGCCTCCTTGAGCCCCTCCCGCCAGACACCCAGCAGAGGCTGGAGGCCCGGAGGCTAAGGCGGGCGCGTCACAGGCCTCGGCGGGAACTGATGTGCAGACCAGGGAGGGGGTCCAGCCGCTGCCACTTGCACCCCGAGTGTCGAGAGCCCGCTCAGGACGTGGCTCTTCCGAGACTCCGTTCGAGACAGCCAGGCTGAATCCAGGATGCTCCAAGAGTCTGAGTCGGATTCCAATCCAGGGGCCTGTGAATGTTGGAACTGAGGATTTAGGGTGGGGGCGGTGAAGGGATAGTTCTCTTGCCCGGCCCACGATTAAGGTTGAGGTTTCCCTGCGCGACCCTACCTACTTCCCAAACACACACACACACACACACACACACACACACACACACACACACACACACACACACCTGCCTCTCCCGGATACGCAAGGCACAGCGTTAGTGGCTTTGAAGGATATAGTATTTGTGGCATCCTTACATGGACGATATCTGGTATTGCCAGCACCCTATAAAAGTCTAGGAGGGCAGGAAATCGACCACTGGCTGCCAGAACTGAAGACCCTCAAAAAATCCCTGCAGTAGTCATCAATTGTCAAACCAGAAATAACAGCTCAGCACAAGCAGGTGCCTTAGGAATGCATCCTGTTGAAAGGGGTTTTCCTATTTACAGTAGTTTGTAAAGGGGTCCAGATATTAGAGTTAGAAAGACCTAGGCAAGTTATTTAACTTCTTTCCAATTACAAGATGGGACTAATAATGTAAAGCACGCAGGACTGTCATGGACATGCAGAACTGCTACGATAACATGAACATGAAGATGAAGAAGTAAGACTGTGGAAAATATGAGCTGATTTGAAGTCATAGTCCTGTAAGTATGTGGTCTAATTTAAGGTCTCACCTGCAAAAAATTCTTTTAGCAGATTCATGAATTAGACACTTGGTCACATCCTCGGCTGAGTAAAGATTCTTCATTCAAGATGTATTCACTGAGCACCAGCTATACACCACTTGGTGCATTGTTGAACAGACTTATTCATGAGCAAGGTAGAAATGTGTCTCCCCTCACATGGCAGGTGACCCACAGGGAAAGGAAGTCTTTAAACAAGGGATGGCCCTGTTTTTAAGGATAGGCACTGGGTACTTTTGGAGGACAGATGACGGGGGACTTGAACTAGGCTAGGGTTTGTCGAATGAAGAATGACAGAGTTCATGAATTGGGATATGAGAGCTTTTATTTCTCATAAAGTGTTACAGTCTTCAGGGTGGCCACTCTGATGGGTTGGGAAGCATAGCCACTGACGGAAGCCAGAAACAGGCACTTCAATGAAGGGGCAAAGGGATCAGGAATTTATGCTGAGCTGGGTGACCAAATATACATATCTTATAAGCTATAGAAATCTGAATATTTGTGGAGGGAAAAGTGTGCACACGCACAACTGTGCTTCATGCTCCTTCCTGAGTCGCAGGTACAAAAAAATGGTGGCATTAGCATGATCTGAGGGTGGAGTTTTCAGTCCTCTGATGTCAACAAGTGAAACCAAGGACACAAAAAACCTTCACTGCACATTGTCGGTAGGCTGGTGAGAGCCACTGGTGGTAGAAGTTGGTGATCTCTTCTCAGGAAGGAATGCTGGTCAGTTGTGTTAAAACTGCAAAAAGGAGGGGCAGTGTCAGGCATTTGGTTGGTTGCTGTCAGGGGAGAAGCATGTCTTTCCAAAGACTTGGTTTGTTTAGCCCTCGGGGAAGAAAGCCTAATAGTGAGGGAGGGGAGGGGGGTGTAATGAGGCCATCCGACCTCCCATCCCATCGTCACCAGGAACTCCATTTTCAAGGTTTCTCTTGGGTCTCCTTGGCCAAGTGGGGGTCCATTCAGTCTGTTGGGGGGGTGTTGGGGTTTCATTTTTATTTCTTTGGTTGATCAGAGAAGGCGTACCTGAGGAAGTGATATTTAAATTAAGTCTTAAAACATGACCTAGGGAGCTTAACACAACTTTTTTTTTTTTTTTTGAGTTGGAGTCTCACTCTGTTGCCCAGGCTGGAGTGCAGTGGCATGCTCATGGCCACCACAGCCTCGATCTGCTGGGTTCAGGCAATCCTTCCACCTCAGTCTTCCAAGTAGCTGGAACTACAGTCGCGTGCTACCACGTCCGACTCAAATTTTTTGATTTATTGTAGAAACGAGGTCTCGCCAAGTTGCCCAGGCTGGTCTCAAACCACTGGGCTCAGGCAATCCTCTTGCCTCAGCTTCCCAAAGTGCTGGAATTACAGGCTTGAGCCATCATGCCCAGCAATGCAACTTCATAGCACAAATTCTGACATCAGGCCTGAACCCTCAGAGGTTCTGATTTCAATAGTCTGCAGTGGAATCTTGACATGGGTAATTTTTTAAAGCTCCCCAGGTAGGGAGAGGTAAGGAAGTTATTCATATCAGGAAAAGGGTCTGAACAGAAGGACCATAGGTCAGGAGAAGCTTGATTATTGAAGATCCAGGAAGGCCTTATTCAACCCAGTTTTCTGGGTTGTTCTGCACCCTCTGGGCATCTGGAAACTCTCCCTGCTTTCCCTATACTCCAGCAGCATGCAAGACACGCTGTGGCCTCTCTTTGAAGATCTTCCAGTGGATATATTGGACAACAGCAACTGAACATGGGACTTTTGCCCAGGAAGCAAAGAGCAAATCCTGGTGCCCTGCAAGGACTCTCTTGTCAGCATTTCTGGACATTTCTGTTACTCCTAGCTCATATCTAAACTACCCCCCAGGGTTCCACCTCCAAAGAAGATATTTATTGATTTATTTTATTTTATATATATATATATTTTTTGAGTTGGAGTCTCACTCTGTCAACCAGACTGGAGTGCAGTGACCGCTCCCGGCCACCACAGCCTCGACCCGCTAGGCTCCGGCGATCCTTCCGCCTCAGCCCTCCAAGTAGCCAGAATTACAGGCATGCGTTACCACGCCCGGCTGATTTTTTGGTTTATTGTAGAGATGAGGTCTCGCTGCCCAGGCGGGTCTCGAACCCGCGGGCTCAGGCAGTCCACTCACCTCAGCCTCCCAAAGGCGCGGGATTACAGGCTGAGCCACTGAGCCCGGCTAGGGAATATACTTAGATTAAGCGTTTTTGTCTGGCCTTTCCTCTCCCCTCCCCCGCTGCCATCTTTTTTCCTTGGCTTTTCTCTTTAGTAGAGGAAAGACTCTATTTCTTCTTCATGTGGGGTGGGAGCTCTAGGCCATATACTCCCCTCTTTGGGAAATAAGTTTCATGTCCTAGCCATGATGGTGGAAGGTCTACAGGGGAAGAGGAGGCAGGAAGAACCTGATTACTGAAAGGGAAATGCATTTTTACATAATGTAAGAAATTTCTTACTTAGGAGGCTGAGGCAGGAGGATTGCTTAGTGCCCAGGAAGTCTAAGCTATGGTGAGCTATGATCATGCCACTGCACTCTAGCCTGAGTGACAGAGCAAGATTCTGTCTTAAAAAAAAAGAAAAAGACAAAGAAAAGAAGAAATTCTTATTATCTAAACAATCAACATATATTAGCATGCTACTAGTAACAAAACTCAGTAACAAATAATACAAATCTGTGTCTTTGCATTGAAATGTTCTTGATATCAGATTTTTCAGGACCCATTTCTCTTTAAACTAATTACAAGTTCTTGTGCGTTTTCTTTGTTTGTTTGTTTATTTATCATCACAGATTTTTTGCACTGTTTGCAAAATAAGTCCATAGGCTAGAATATCCTTGTCCCGCCTCTTCATCTGCAAGATTTCTGTCCATCCTAAGAAAATATGCTCAAATTCCTCCTTGTTGATAAGATATTTTAGACCATGTCAATCTCTCTTGGTCTAACATCATTGTACTTATTAACTGAATCATTCATTTAGTAATGAATTAATTTTAATGCATATTATAGTATGCCTACTATGTACCAAGTACTATGTTAGACACTGACAATTGGGATATTGTTTTATTTATTTCTGCTTATATTCTATTGCTTTTTTCTGTAGCCATTGTACTTATTCTTTCTACTTGCATTATGTATCCTTAAGGACAAGGTTGCATTCCTTATTTAAGAAAACTTGCACAGTACCCTGAGAATTGTAACAAAACACAAGTAATTTGTTGGCTGTTGTTTGATCAATTGAAATCTTCTGGTATTTTTAGCTTTAAGACCACTCTTATCATTTTATATGTACTGTATACATATCTGTGTCAGCAAGGGTTCTCTGTCTACACGCCAGAAAACTAATTCTGGACAATTTAAGCAAAAAAATAAAAACAAACAAAAAAGTATTATCAGGTTATAAGATGTCTCACTGAACTTGACTTTGGAATAAAATGAGGAGTAGTATGGTTCTGTGATAGTGGTAGCAGAGAACCTCTTTAGGATGACGTCATTTGGGTACATGAATTCCAACCATTTTCATCCTCTTGCCAGGGTTCAAATGCAAAGAATTCAATCCTAGTGATCTACCTATTTAGGGAACATGACCACAACCCTGGCCAGGGGATGACAGATCATCTTGATGAATGGTCCCAACTAGAATACATGCCATGGAAAAGCAGTGACTCCATAAAGGATGGCCAAAACACTATTTTAGTCAAGCAC